CAGACGAGGAGAGAGCAGTAGGAGTAGCAGTGTTTTCAGTGGTAATCCATGTTTCCGTCAGCGCCAGGAAGTCGAGGGACTGGAGGGTAGCATAGGCTGGGATGAAGTCAGCCTTGTTGGCAGCAGAACGGCAGTTCCAGAGGCTGCCTGAGACCTGGAACTCCAGGTGTGTGGTGCGTGCAGGGACCACCAGGTTAGAGAGGCAGCAGCCACGCGGTGTGAGGCGTTTGTGTAGCCTGTGCTGAGAGGAGAGAACAGGGATAGGCAGAGGCATAGTTGACAGGCTGCAGCAGATGGCTACAATAATGCAGAGGAGATCGGAATGAAATGAACTAAACATCTGGGAAAGGAGAGAGCGGTGCCTCCCTCACCACAACTCCCAAATATAACTCTCCCAACTTCCACCTCAGAAACTATAATTGTTGTAAACTACAGCGGTTCAATGTTTTCTAGGAATAGACTAACCTAGTTTATTCAGCTAGCTAACTAGGTGCAGTATTATTCCATGAAAAACGTCCAGGCACCTCGTCATAACACACGGCACGAACACACAGAGAGAGCCAAACTAACGTTAGCTAGTCACCCATGTCCCGAATTCCTTGAGCGACTCGGGCTATCAATATTTAAAAAAAACAACAAAAAAAAACACAAGTGTAGGTTATGACTTACCCCTAGCAGCTACTATTAGCTAGCCAAGTGCAAAGCTAGCCACTGAATTGACTCAGCCAGTTCGCGTCTGTTCACTCGGTCGTTCCAGCTATTGTTTACAAGTAGCTATCCTGGTTGCAACAAGCTTGCTAATTTTCAAGCACAGTAGCCACTTGCTACCTAACGTTAACGGTTCAGACAATGAGGTTAGAAAACAGCTGAATGGTAGGCAATTATTGTATGTGATTATTGTAGGCAGCCAGCTGGCGTAATTACAGGCACTCTCAGGCGTGAAACAACTATACCGTTGCTGATAGCTAGTTAGTTAGCTAGCTAGAATAGTTAGCAAACTAGCTAGCCATTGCTTCAGACAAAGAAGAACCTCTCCTTTCACGGCACGAATACACAGAGAGAGCCAAACTAACGTTAACTAGTCACCCATGTCCCGAATTCCTTGAGGGACTCAGGCTATCAATATGTAAAAAAAAAAAACACAAGTGTAGGTTATGACTTACCCCTAGCAGCTAGTGTTAGCTAGCCAAGTGCAAAGCTAGCCACTGAATTGACTCAGCCAGTTCGCGTCTGTTCGCTCGGTCGTTCCAGCTATTGTTTACAAGTAGCTATCCAGGTTGCAACAAGCTTGCTAATTTTCAAGCGCAGTAGCCACTTGCTACCTAACGTTAACGGTTCAGACAATGAGGTTAGAAAACAGCTGAATGGTAGGCAATTATTGTATGTAATCATTGTAGGCAGCCAGCTGGCGTAATTACAGGCACTCTCAGGCGTGAAACAACTATACCGTTGCTAATAGCTACTCGCCAGCTAGTCCAGGTGGTGAGTTAGCTAGCTAGCTAGCTTCGTGCTACACCCGGCACCGCCGAATACAATACTTAACCTACAATCATTACATACAATAACTACCTACAACAACCCACGATACCTACCTACAATACCTAACTACAATCAAAATACATAGTTTTAAGCCTTACTCGACAAAGCCAAGCTATGTATAAAGCCAAGCTTACCCGACGACCTCCTCCTCCTCCTCCTGCTTGCAGATGTCACTTTGGTAGTACCCTATAAAGGAAACATGTACCTTTTCTAATACCACACTTCTGTACCTGTGGACTGTACATGTACTATCTGAGGTATGAACTGTGGTGAAACTATGGACCTATAACTAAATGTACTAAGGACGTACCTAACAGTGTACAACTACAGTGACAAGCATTTGTACTCATTTAAGGACAAATATAAAGCTTTTGTTTCTATGAGTGTAGGGTAAAGGTTTACTATACATGGCTGAGGAAACTCTATATACCTGTTTATACATGGCTGAGGAAACTCTATATACCTGTTTATACATGGCTGAGGAAACTCTATATACCTGTTTATACATGGCTGAGGAAACTCTATATACCTGTTTATACATGGCTGAGGAAACTCTATATACCTGTTTATACATGGCTGAGGAAACTCTATATACCTGTTTATACATGTTTCTAACATGCTTCCTTTGTGCTGATCTTGTCCAAATTCCGCATTTTTAGACACATTGTGATCAGATCTTCCTGCCCACCTCCGGAGGTAGTCAGGCACGCAATGTGTCTGAATATTTTACAAATGCAGATGGATCTGAACAGTGAAGCCATTTAAATCATCGTTATCCCACCCTCTTAAATCATTGACAGGTGGCACCATTGACTTACAGTACCAGTCAAACGTTTGGACACACCTACTCATTCAAGGGTTTTTCTTTATTTTTACTATTTTTTACATTGTAGAATAATGGTGAAGACATCAAAACGATAAAATAACACATATGGAATCATGTAGTAACCAAAAAAGTGTTAAACAAATCAAAATATATTTTATATTTAAGATTCTTCAAATAGTCACCCTTTGCCTTGATGACAGCTTTGCACACTCTTGGCATTCTCTTAACCACCTTCACCTGGAATGCTTTTCCAACAGTCTTGAAGGAGTTCCCACATATGCTGAGCACTTGTTGGCTGCTTTTCCTTCACTCTGCCATCCGACTCATCCCAAACCATCTCAATTGGGTTGAGGTCGGGGGATTGTGGAGGCCAGTTAATCTGATGCGGCACTCATCACTCTCCTTCTTGGTAAAATAGACTTTACTCAGCCTGGAAGTGTGTTGGGTCATTGTCCTATTGAAAAACAAATGATAGTCCCACTAAGCACAAACCAGGTGGGATGGTGTATCGCTGCAGAATGCTGTGGTAGCCAAGCTGGTTAAGTGTGCCTTGAATTCTAAATAAATCACAGACGGTGTCACCAGCTAAGCACCCCTACACCAAAACACCTCCTCCTCCATGCTTTACGGTGGGAAATACACATGTGGAGATCATCCGTTCACCCACACCGCGTCTCACAAAGACACGGTGGTTGGAACCAAAAATCAAAAATTTGGACTCCAGACCAAAGGACAAATTTCCACCGGTCTAATGTCTATTGCTCATGTTTCTTGGCCCAAGCAAGACTCTTCTTCTTATTGGTGTCCTTTAGTAGTGGTTTCGTTGCAGCAATTCAACCACGAAGGCTTGATTCACAGTCTCCTCTGAACAGTTGATGTTGAGATGTGTCTGTGACTTGAACTCTGTGAAGCATTTATTTGGGCTGCAATTTCTGAGGCTGGTAACTCTAATGAACTTATCCTCTGCAGCAGAGGTAACTCTGGGTCTTCCATTCCTGTGGCGGTCCTCATGAGATTCAGTTTCATCATAGCGCTTGATGGTTTTTGCGACTGCACTTGAAGAAACGTTTAAAGTTCTTGATATTTTCCGTATTGACTGACGTTCATGTCTTAAAGTAATGATGGACTGTCGTTTCTCTTTGCTTATTTGAGCTGTTCTTGCCATAATATGGACTTGGTCTTTTACCAAATAGGGCTATCTTCTGTATACCCCCCCTATCTTGTCACACCACAACTGATTGGCTCAATCGGTTCCACAAATTAACTTTTAAGAAGGAACACCTGTTAATTGAAATGCATTCCAGGTGACTACCTCGTGAAGCTGGTTGAGAGAATGCCAAGAGTGTGCAAATCTGTCATCAAGGCAAAGGGTGGCTATTTGAAGAATCTCAAATATAAAATATATTTTGATTTGTTTAAAACATTTTTGGTTACTACATGATTCCATATGTGTTATTTCATAGTTTTGATGTCATCACTATTATTCTACAATGTAGAAAATAATAAAAATAAAGAAAAACCCTTGAATGAGTAGGTGTGTCCAAACTTTTGACTGGTAGTGTATGTCCTCTTGAGGTGACAGCCCTTTTGCACTGTTTTCACTATGGCTGTATTCATCTAAGAAGAGGGCAATCTTTTGAATAATGTAGTGGTGTCCCCCCTTTCCCCCAGAAACGTATGACGTTTGGCTTTCACCCGGAAATGTTTGTCTAAGAAAAAAATACTTTTCACACCGTTAAATCTAATACAAAATAAAAGTATAATAACCACATACCAATATGATGATATCTGATGTGAATCCATGAAATGGGAATATGATGATATCTGATGTGAATCCATGAAATGGGAATATGATGATATCTGATGGGAATCCATGAAATGGGAATATGATGATATCTGATGGGAATCCATGAAATGGGAATATGATGATATCTGATGGGAATCCATGAAATGGGAATATGATGATATCTGATGGGAATCCATGAAATGGGAATATGATGATATCTGATGTGAATCCATGAAATGGGAATATGATGATATCTGATGTGAATCCATGAAATGGGAATAAACAAGCCTTTTCATATTTTTATGTCTATATATAGTTACAATCATTTTTTGAAACCCAAAATGTTTTACCTTTTCTACTTTACCAAAAATATCATGACATTAGTGATGGTCAAAATGTGTCACATTTGTGAGGCTCTAAATCAATATTTTGCCCATTTAAATAGAGTATGTTTTCGCTAAGAACAAGGGGGATGTTTTTGACTTCTTTATTTATTTTAGGTTTAAGGAAGTATGTAGGTGGCATTCTTTGTTGTAGAGCTATGAAAGTTATTTATTCAGATCAATGTGGTCAAGACAAGTCGAACGAGTTAAACATCACAACTCTGCAATTATTTTGAAAAAATATCTGTCAAATAATTTGCATTCGGGGATTCTGGTCACAATGCAGACACAGTGGAAGGACAATAAACATTTTAATACCATGTGTAGATGCAACGGCTAAAAAGTTGGGCACAATCAGAATGTGGATAAGATTAGGACAAAGGACGCATTTTAGCTCCATTTATAAACAGGGCTTACTGTATATGTATTTTAAATGTGTCCAATCAATTCATTAATTTATGAATGAATGAATGAATTAATCCATGCATCCATCCATTTATTCATCCATTTATTTATCCATTCATTCATCAGAAACCTCAGAGGGGTGTCCAGCAGTCTGGTGTGTAACTTGGAGAAGAGAGTGTTGTTGGATGTCAGTCCATTAAATAACTATGTCAGACTGCTGAGGTGGGTGGGCGAGAAGCTCAAGAAGTTAAAAGGATTATCCAAAATCGAGTCCACCGTCAGACACAGCGTTGAGTCCAACGATCTGACGGTGAAACTTCAGGAAGCTGTCCGGATGCTGAACACCACAGCGAAGAGCGCTGAGGAGAGCATTGACCTGGTGATGGCCGTGTTCCAGAGAGCAGTCCCGTTACTAGGGGTTACCCTGGTCATCATCACCACTACCCTGTTCCTCAGAAAATACTTATTCAACCTCAAGTACCAGAACAAGTTCATCACCAGCAGGTTTATTAGATACGATGATCAGCAGAGAGCTGAGGGGAAGCCCCACCTCCTCCCTCTGAGCTCAGAGGAGGCAGATCAGTTCCACTCTATCCCCTCCACCCGCTTCACACAGAGAGAGGGCTACACCATTCTCTTGTTCCTGGTTCCAGTGCTCACCCACCTCCTACCCTGGCTCTTATTCATCTCCCTGGACGCACTGCTCTACTGGCTCATTCTGACTATCAACAAACACCTTCTGGAACTGGAACCAGTCCGCATTGATCTAAAGATTAACCTAAACGTGAGTAGACCTGGAACCATTCAGCATTAACCTAAAGAGTACCTAACGTGATGAACCTGGAACCATCAGTAACCTAAGATGCACCTAAACGTGAGTAGACCTGGAACCATAGCATTAACCTAAATGTAACCATGAGTCAGCATTAACCCTAAAGATGTACCTAAACGTGAGTAGACTGGAACATGCTTAAACTGAAGATGTACCCTGAGTAGACCTGGAACCATTCACGCCTTAACCTAAAGAGTGCACTAAAAGTGAGTAGACCTGGAACCATTCAGCATTAACCAAAGATGTACCTAAACGTGAGTAGACCTGAACCATTCATAACTAAGATGTACCTAAACGTGGTAGACTGGAACCATTCAGCATACCTAAAGATGTACCTAAACGTGAGAGACCTGGAACCATTCAGCATTAAACCCAAAGATGTAACCTAAACGTGAGTAGACCTGGAAAACCCTTCAGCCATTAACCTAAAGATGTACCTAAACGTGGAGTAGACCTGGAACCATTCAGCATTAACTAAAGATGTACTAAACGTGAGTAGAAACCCGGAACCCTTCAGCATTAACCTAAAGATTACCTAAACGTGAGTAGACCTGGAAAACCCTTCAGCATTAACCTAAAGATTTAAACCTAAACGTGAGTAGACCTGGAACCATTCAGCATTAACCTAAGATTAACCTAAAGTGAGTAGGGCCTGGAACCATTCAGCATTAACCTAAAGATAAACCCAAACGTGAGTAGACCTGGAACCATTCAGCATTAACCTAAAGATGTACCTAAACGTGGTAGACCTGGAACCCTTCAGCATTAACCTAAAGATTAAACCTAAACGTGAGTAGACCTGGAAAAACCATTCAGCATAACCTAAAGATGTACCTAACGTGAGTAGACCTGGAACCATTCAGCATTTAAACCCAAAGATTAACCTAAACGTGAGTAGACCTGGGAAAACCCTTCAGCATAACCTAAAGATTAACCTAAACGTGAGTAGACCTGGAACCATCAGATTAACCCAAAATTAAACCCAAACGTGAGTGACCTGGAACCCTTCAGCATTAACCTAAAGATTACCTAAACGTGAGTTAGACTGGAAAAAATTCAGCATACCTAAAGATGAACCTAAACGTGAGTAGACTGGAACCATTCAGCATTAACCTAAAGTTAAACCCAAACGTGAGTAGACCTGGAACCATCAGCATTAACCTAAAAAATGTACCTAAACGTGAGAGGACCTGGAACCATTCAGCATTAACCTAAAGATGTACCTAAACGTGAGGAGACAGGGGAAACCATTCAGCTTTAAACCCAAAGATGTACTAAACGTGAGTAGACTGGAACCATTCAGCATTAACCTAAAGATGTACCTAAACGTGAGTAGACCTGGAAAACCCTTCAGCATTAACCTAAAGATTTTACCTAAACGTGAGTAGGGCCTGGAACCATTCAGCATTAACCTAAAGGTACACTAAACGTGAGTAGACCTGGAACCATTCAGCATTAACCTAAAGATTAACCTAAACGTGAGTAGACCTGGAACCATTCAGCATTAACCTAAAGATGTACCTAAACTGAGTTTGACCTGGAACCTTCAGCATAAAACCTAAAGATGTACTAAACGTGAGTTTGACCTGGAACATTTAGCATTAAATAAAGTTAACCTTTAACGTGGTAGCCTGGAACTCAGCTTACCTAAAGATGTACCCAAACGTGGTAGACCTGGAAACCATTCAGCATTAACCCAAAGATACCTAAAGTGAGTAGACTTGGAACCATTTTAGCATTAACCTAAAGATGTACCTAAACGTGGTAGACCTGGAACATTCAGCTTAACCTAAAGATTTACCCAAACGTGAGTTAGACTGGAACCGTTTAGCATAACTAAAATGACTAAAGTGAGTAGACCTGGAACTTCAGCATTAACCTAAAGACGTACCTAAACGTGGTAGAAACCCGGAACATTTAGCATTAACCTAAAAATTAACCTAAAGTGAGAGACCTGGAACCATTTAGATTAACTAAGATAACCTAACGCGAGTAGACTGGAACATTCAGCATTAACCCAAAGATTAACCAAACGTGAGTAGACCTGGAACATTCCCATTAACTAAAGTGTACCTAAAGTGAGTAGACTGGAACCAATTCAGCATTACCTAAAGATGACCTAACGTGAGTAGACCAGGAACCATTCAGCATTTAACCCAACGATTACCTAAACGTGAAGCCCGGAACATTAGCATTAACCTAAAGATTAAATAAACGTGATGACCAGGACCATTCAGCATTAACCTAAAGATTAACCCCCAACATGGTAGACTGGAACCATTCAGCATTAACCTAAAGATGTACCTAAACGTAGAGACCCGGAACCATTCCAGCATTAACCTAAAGAGTACCTAAACGTGAGTGACCCGGAACCATCGTTAACCTAAAGATGTACCTAAAGTGGTGACCTGAACCATTCGCTTAACCTAAAGAGAACCCAAAATGAGTAGACCAACCAAACAATAAAAAACCAAAAAAAAAAAAAAAAAAAAAAAACCGGAACCTTCAGCTTAACCTAGTGACCTAAACGGAGTAGGGCCGGAAAAATCAGTAACCCAAAAATTAAACCTAAAGTGAGTAGACTGGAACCCTTCAGCTTAACCTAAAAAATGTAAAAACGGAGTAACCCGGGAAAATTCAGCATTAACCTAAAGATTAAACCCAAACGTGAGTAGACCTGGAACCATTCGCATTAACCAAAGATGTACCTAAAGTGAGGACCTGGGGAAACCCTTCAGCATTAACCTAAAGAGTACCAAACGTGGTAGACCTGGAACCATTTAGCATTTAAATAAAGATGTACCTAAAAAGTGAGTGACCTGGAACCATTAGCATTAACCAAAGATTACTAACGTGAGAGACCTGGAACCCTTCAGATTAAAACCCAAAAAAAGTACCCAAAGTGAGTAACCCGGAACCATTCAGCATTAACTAAAGATTACCTAAAGTGAGTAACCGGAACCATTCAGCAAACCTAAAGATAACCCAAAATGAGTAACCGGAACCATCAGAAACCAAAGAGTACCAAAGTGGAGACCTGGAACCCTTCAGCATTAATAAAGATTAAAATAAACGTGAGTAGACCTGGAACCAAGCATAACCAAAGATTTTTCCAAAAGTGAGTGACCTGGAAAAACCCTTCGCATTAACTAAAGATTAAACCCAAAAGTGGTGACCTGGAAAAAATTTAGCATTAACCTAAAGATTACCTAAACGTGGTAGACCTGGAACCCTTCAGCATTTTAAACCCAAAAATTACCAAAGTGAGTAGACCTGGAACCATTCAGCAAACCTAAAAATTACCAAACGGGGGTAGATGGAAACCCTTCAGCATTTAAATAAAGATTAAAATAAAAAGGAGAGACCGGAACCTTTAGATTAAACCCAAAGTGACCTAAACGTGAGTAGGCCGGAACCTTTAGCATTAAACCAAAAATTAACCCCAAAGTGGTAACCCGGGAAACCCTTCAGCAAACCTAAGATTACCTAAACGGAGAGACCTGGAAAAAATTCAGCATTAAACCCAAAGATTACCTAAACGTGAGTGACCGGGGCCATCAGCATAACCCAAAAAAATTTACCCAAACGTGAGTAACCCGGAACCATTAGCATTAACCTAAAGAGGTACCTAAACGTGAGTAGACCGGGAAACCCTTCAGCATAACTAAAATTAACCCAAAGGAGAGACTGGAACCCTTTTAGCATTAACCAAAAAAGACCTAAACGTGAGTAGACCTGGGGAACCCTTCGCATTTAACCCAAAGATTACCAAAGTGGTAGACTGGAACCTTCAGCATAACCCAAAGAACCCAAACGTGGAGACCTGGGAACCCTTCAGCATTAACCCAAAGGTTTTCCTAAAAATGAGTAGACTGGAACCTTAGATTTCCCAAAAATTTAAAAAAAATGAGTAGACCTGGAACCCTAGCATTAACCCAAAAAAATCTAAACGGAGTAGCCGGAACCATTCAGCATAACTAAAAATTAAAATAAACGTGAGTAGACCGGAAACCCTTTAGCATTAACCCAAAGATTAACCTAAAGGAGTAGACCTGGAACCCAGCTTTAACCAAAGATTAACCCAAAGGAGTAGACCTGGGAACCCTTTAGCATTAAAACCCAAGATACCTAAACGTGAGTAGACCTGGAACCCTTCAGCATTTAAACCCAAAGATTCCTAAAGGAGTAGACCGGAACCATTAGCATTAACCTAAAGATTACCTAAAGTGGTAGACCGGAACCCCTTCAGATTAACCTAAAGAAACTAAAATGAGTGACCGGAACCCTTCAGCTTTAAACCCAAAGATTACCCCAAAATGAGTAGCCGGAACCCTCAGCATTAACCCAAAGATTACCTAAACTGGTAGACCTGGAACCATTCAGCATTAACTAAAATTACCTAAAAGTGAGAGACCCGGAACCCTTTAGCATTAAAATAAAGTTAACCAAACGGGGGAGAACCGGGAACCATTTAGATTAACCCAAAGATGACCTAAAAAATGAGTAGACCGGAACCATTCAGATTTAAATAAAGATGAAATAAAAATGAGTGACCGGGAACCATCAGTTAAAATAAAGTAAACCCAAAGGAGTGACCGGAACCCTTCGCATTAACCCAAAAAAACTAAACGGAGGACCGGAACCATCGCATTAAACCCAAAGAGACCTAAACGGGAGAGACCTGGAACATTTAGATTAACCCAAAGATTACCAAACGGAGTAGATGGAACCTTTAGCATAACCCAAAGATGTACCTAAACGTGGTGACCTGGAACTTCAGATTAAAACCCAAAAATGTACCTAAAAAGTGGTAGACCCCGGAACCATTCAGCATTTAAACCAAAGAGACCTAAAAGTGAGTAACCCGGAAAAAATTAGCTTAACCTAAAGATTAAACCCAAAAAGGGGGCGAAAATGGTAAAAACCCTTCAGCATTAAACCCAAAAAATTTCCTAAAAGGGGTAGACCTGGAAACCCTTTTAGTTAACCTAAAGATTACCTAAACGTGAGTAGACCTGGAAAACCCTTCAGCATAACCTAAAGATTACCTAAAATGAGTGACCGGAAAAATTTTAGCATTAAAACCCAAAAAAAATTACCTAAACGTGAGTGACGGAACCATTCCGCTTAACCTAAAGTTAAAAAAGTGAGTGACCCGGAAAAACCAGATTAACCTAAAGATTTCCTAAGGAGTAGACCTGGAACCATTCAGATTAACCTAAAGATTAAACCCAAAGTGAGTAGACCTGGAACCCTCAGCATTCCTAAAGTTTCCTAAAGTGGGACTGGAAACCCTTCACATTAACCTAAAGATTACTAAAAAGTGAGTAGACCCGGAACCATTCAGATTAACCCAAAGATTTTCCTAAACGTGAGTGACCTGGAACCATTCAGCATTAACCCAAAGATTACCAAACGGGTAGCTGGAAAACCCTTCAGCATTAACCTAAAAATTACCTAAAAATGAAGACCCGGAACCATTCAGATTAAAATAAAGATTAACCTAAAGGAGAGACTGGGGAAAAACCCTTTAGCATTTAACAAAGATTACCTAAAGTGAGTAGACCGGAACCTCAGATTTAACTAAAGATTACCTAAACCCGGGTAGACCTGGAACCTTCAGCATTTAACCCAAAGATTACCTAAGGAGTAGACCGGAACCTTTACTTAAACCCAAAGAGACCCAAAAGTGGTAGCCTGGAAAAACCCTTTGCATTTAACCCAAAGATTAAACCCAAAAAGTGGGGTGACCGGAACCATTCAGCATTACCAAAGGGGTTTTCCTAAACGGGGAGACCGGAAACCCTTCAGATTAACCTAAAAATAACCTAAAGTGAGTAGCCTGGAAAACCCTTTTAGCTTAACCCCAAAAAGTACCAAACGTGAGTGACCGGAAAACCCTTCGATTAACCTAAAGATAACTAAAATGAGTAGACCCGGAAACCCTTTAGCAAACCTAAAGATTTACCTAAAGTGAGTGACCTGGAAACTTTAGATTAACCTAAAAGTACCCCAAACGGGGTAGCCTGGGAACCATTCAGCATTTCTAAAAAATTACCTAAACGTGGTAGACCTGGAAAAAATTAGCATTAACTAAAATTAAACCCAAAAGTGAGTAGACGGAACCATTCAGCATTAACTAAAGATTACCAAAGGAGTAGACCTGGAACCCTTTAGCCTTAAAATAAAAATAACCAACGTGGGGTAGACCCGGAAACCCTTCAGCATTAACTAAAGATTAAAACCCAAACGTGAGTGACTGGAAAACCCTTCAGCATTAACAAAAAATTAACCCAAAGTGAGTAGACCTGGAACCCTAGATTACCAAAGGTACTAAACGGAGAGACTGGAAAAAATTCGCATTAACCTAAAGATTACCTAAAAGTGAGTAGACCGGAACCCTTCAGCTTAACCCAAAAAGACCAAACGTGAGTAGACCGGAACCCTTTTAGCATTTAAACCCAAAGATTTACCCAAACGTGAGTAGCCGGAACCATTAGATTAAATAAAAATGACCTAAAGGAGTAGCCGGAAACCCTTAATTTAACCAAAGAAACCAAACGTGAGGACCGGGAACCCCTCAGCATTTAACCAAAAATTAAACCTAAACGGGAGCCGGAACCTTTGATTAAACCTAAAAATTACTAAACTGAGTAGCCTGGAAAAATTAGATTTAAACCTAAAGATTACCTAAAGGGTGATGGAAACCTTTAGCATTAAAACCCAAAAATTACCTAAACGTGGTAGACTGGAAAAAATTCAGCATTTAAATAAAAATGACCTAAAAGTGAGAGACCTGGGAACCATTCAGCTTTTCCCCAAAAAACCTAAACGTGAGTGACCGGAACCATCAGCATTTAACCAAGATGATAAACGTGAGTAGACCGGAACCATTCGTTAACCTAAAGATTAAAACCCAAAGGAGTAGACCTGGAACCATTCAGATTTAAACCCAAAGATGTACCTAAAGGAGTGACCTGGAACCATTAGCATTAACCAAAGATTTAACTAAAGTGAGTAGACTGGAACCCCTTCAGCATTAAAACCAAAGAGTACCTAAAAGGGTGATGGAACCCTTAGCATTAACCTAAAAAATTAAAAAGTGAGTAGACTGGAACCATTCGATTAACCTAAAGAGGCCCCAAAAGTGGGGACCGGAACCATTCAGCATTAACCCAAAGTTTCCAAAGTGGTGACCCGGAACCCTTCAGCATTAATAAAAATGTACTAAACGTGGTAGACCTGGAACCCTTCAGCATTTCTAAAGATTAAACCCAAGTGAGTAGACCGGAACCATTCAGTTTAAAAAAGATTTTCCTAAGGGTAGACCTGGAACCCTTTAGCATTTAACCTAAAAAGTACCTAAACGTGAGTAACCCGGAAAAATTCGCATTAACTAAAGTTAAACCCCAAAAGGGGTGACCGGAACCCCCAGCATTAACCTAAAAATTACCTAAAGTGAGTAGAAACCCGGAAAAATTCAGATTAACCTAAAGAAACCCAAAAAGGGGTAGACCGGAACCCTCAGCAAAACCCCAAAGATTTTAACCAAATGATGACCCGGAACCCTTCAGATTTAAACCCAAAGTTAAACCCTAAACGTGAGTAGACCTGGAACCATCAGCATTAACCCAAAGATGAACCTAAACGTCGGAGACCAGGAACCATTCAGCTTAACCTAAGATTAACCTAAACGTGGAGTAGACATGGAACCATTCGCATTAACCTAAAGAGGAACCTGTAAACGTGAGTAGACCTGGAACCAGTCAGCATTGAACTAAAGATAACCTCAACTGCGTAGACCTGGAAAACAATTCAGCATTAACCTAAAGATTAACTAAACGTGAGTAGACCTGGAACCATCAGCATTAACCTAAGATGTACCTAAATCGTGAGTAGACCTGGAACATTCAGCATTAACCTAAAGATGTACCTGAACGTGAGTAGACCTGGAACCATTCAGCATTAACCTAAACGTGAGTTGCCATGCTTGGAGGTTCAGAAAACCATACAGTGTAATGTCGTTACCAGTACCCCCTGTATATAGTCTCATTATTGTTATCTCATTGTGTTATTATATTATTTTTTACTTTACTTTATTTAGTAAATCTTTTCTCAACTCTATTTTCTTAAGGCTGCATTGTTGGTTAAGGGCTTGTAAGTAAGCATTTCACTGTAAGTTCTACACCTGTTATATTAGGCGCATGTGACATATAAAATGTGATTTTATTTTATTTGACATTTTCGATTTTAATAGGCTGATGAAGCTCTTGGTAACACTTTAATGAGATACTCCTCTAGAGACGGTTTAAACCCTAACCTAATTCTAGCTCCAACCCTAACCCTAATGCTAACTAGGTTAGGTCAAAGGCTGGCATCAATCTCTCTTTTTATCTCTTTCCCATTCATCAGGAAGACATCAGCATTGTGTTTATCCCTCTCCCATGGGGACACAGCTCAGAGGATTTCTCCTACAACTTCACCCTATTTCAGGAGGATTGTCTTCACCAGCCCTCCCTGCTCCTCTCCAGGTCTGTGGTCGACCTGCCTGTTATCTATTTGTCCTAGACCTGCTAACCCCAACCCTAACCCTAACCCCAACCCTAACCCTAACCCCAACCCTAACCCCAACCCCCCGATCCTCTGCAGGCAGGGCGTCCAGTCGTCCCGGGGACGATAAAGAAAAATGCTTGGGAAGGTTCAGAACAGACATTGAGACAGATGCAGGATGATAGGCCAGAAAAATATCAAATGCATACAACAGTGTTTCCGTACTAAAATGTTTAAACACAAAGACAAGGCTGATGAAACAGATCACAACATTAGCTTAAAAGTTGATAAACTATTAATTATTCACATTACAAGTGCAGCAATGTGTTCACTCGTCTCGGCCATATGCTTGAATGTTATTATGCGAGAACACCATTACTGGAGAACACCATTTCTCAAACGCGCACCTGATGCGAGCGGTTTTTATAACGCTACAGAGATGGATATACAGCCTAATGGTACAAATTTAGAACAAGGGAATTTCTGAAGATGCAACAATAGGATTGTGCCTCACTGCCTTTGGACAGTAGAATAAGAAATGCTGTTTTCATGGCATATCAGGAAATCTGTCTCTAGGCTATTAAAAGCAAGGTAAGATGTAAAACGTCAAGGTTTCAAACAATGATATGGCTGGCTAGGCATCGCATATGTAAATATTTAGGTTATGGAAATGTATAATATTAGAATATCATTCCAATGTTGGGCAAATAGGCCTATTAGAATGCACATTTGACTAGCTCCCAGCCTGTCTGCAGGCCCGGAGCTGAGATTTTGTGTGCCGGGAGTTGCCGGTACAAAGCCTCTGTATGGACACATCGATAGCCTACAGACAATGCAAATGCCACAGCAACTCCCGGCACACGAAACCTCAGCTCCGGGCCTGCAGACAGGGCTCCCATTGGTCGCCAGCAGCTGGGACTTGAGTGGCAGCTGCTCTCGGCAGACCCCTGTGTGACTGAGCAGCCCTATTTAGGAGCCACACTGCTCAACCCAGCTGGGGAGAGGCCTAGAAAAGGTGGCCTAAATATTGCCCACTCACTCCATCCTGGAAAGGCTACCGCACCTATAGGGAGTTCCACTCAGCGGTGGAAAAATAATTCCCCTGAAACTGGCGACATGGAACATCAGAACTCTTTTGGACACTGACGATAATAGCGATAGACCCCATGGGAGAACAGCTCTGATTGCTGCAGAACTAAGACGCTACAACATTGACATTGCTGCCCTGAGTGAGACAAGGTTCCTGGATGAAGGTTCTCTGAAAGAGGAGGGAGAAGACTACACCTTCTTCTGGAAAGGTTACCCTCCGGGTGAATAACATCAGCACGGTGTGGGACTGGCAATTAAGAACAGCCTTTTACCCAGCCTAACCGAAACACCTGTCGGAATAAGTGAAAGACTCATGTCTCTCCGTATTCCCCTAGCCAAGATGTGTTATGCTGTTGCCAGCAAGGCCCTGGCCAAGGTGATGCTACACAGGCTGGTGAGCAACATCACAGAGGAACTGCTGCCGGAGTCACAATGCGGCTTCAGAAAGAACAGGAGTACGGTCATCATGATATTCACGGCATGGCAACTCCAGGAGAAGTGCCGTGAACAACATCCAGACCTTTTCATGGCCTTTGTCGACCTTGCCAAGGCCTTCGACACTGTGAGCAGAGAACTACTATGGGGTATTATACTCAAATTTGGCTGTCCGGACAAATTTGCCAAAATTCTTTGGCTCGGGTGTCCATAGGAGGGCAGGAGTCAGTGCCCTTTGGAGTAAGCATCGGTGTGAGGCAGGTGTGTGTACTGGCACCTGTACTCTTTAACATCTTTCTCCTATGTGTCACCCAGCTTCTCCACAAGGAGCTTGAGAACAGCAGCGGGATTGCAGTGGGACTTCTGGCTGGATGGAAAACTATTCAACATCCGGAGGCTCCAAGCAACCACCAAGGTTTTGACGGAGCAGGTTCTTGAGCTGCAGCATGCTGATGACTGTGCTCTTGTGGCCCACACTCCGGAAGACCTTCAGTCCATCCTTGTAGTGGCTGCGAGGGTCTATAGCAGGATGGAACTGTCTATCAACACCACCAAGACAGAGGTGGTCTGCCAATGGAGATCCAGCCCTCCACCCACCATGCCTGTCTTCACCATTGAACACAAATCACTGGAAACAGTCCCGTCCTTCAAATACTTGGGCAGCGTCCTCTCGGAGGACTGCAGCATCGACCTCAAAATTCAAAATATGATCAAGCAAGCATCAGCTGCCTTTGGGAAACTGAGACGCATGGTCTTCCAAAACAGGGATCTCCACCTCCACACCAAAGTCACCATCTATCAAGCCATCTGCATCACCCAGTGAAGCTTGGGTCACTTACAGCCGCCACAACAAGCAGCTAGAGCGATTCCACATAGGATGCCTGAAGCACATCCTGGGAATCACCTGGTGTGACCGTGTGCCCCATACAGAAACACTTGCTAAGACCAACTGCAAGAGTATGGAGGCCGTGGTCACCCAACACCAACTACTCTGGCTTGGGCAGGTCATTAGGATGTCTCAGGAGCGCCACCAACTACGCTGGCTTGGGCAGGTCATTAGGATGTCTCAGGAGCGCCACCAACTACTCTGGCTTGGGCAGGTCATTAGGATGTCTCAGGAGCGCCACCAACTACGCTGGCTTGGGCATGTCATTAGGATGTCTCAGGAGCGCCACCAACTACTCTGGCTTGGGCAGGTCATTAGGATGTCTCAGGAGCGCCACCAACTGCTCTGGCTTGGGCAGGTCATTAGGATGTCTCAGGAGCGCCACCAACTACTCTGGCTTGGGCAGGTCATTAGGATGTCTCAGGAGCGCCACCAACTGCTCTGGCTTGGGCATGTCATTAGGATGTCTCAGGAGCGCCACCAACTACGCTGGCTTGGGCAGGTCATTAGGATGTCTCAGGAGCGCCACCAACTACGCTGGCTTGGGCATCTCATTAGGATGTCTCAGGAGCGCCACCAACTGCTCTGGCTTGGGCAGGTCATTAGGATGTCTCAGGAGCGCCACCAACTACTCTGGCTTGGGCATGTCATTAGGATGTCTCAGGAGCGCCACCAACTACGCTGGCTTGGGCATGTCATTAGGATGTCTCAGGAGCGCCACCAACTACGCTGGCTTGGGCAGGTCATTAGGATGTCTCAGGAGCGCCACCAACTACGCTGGCTTGGGCATGTCATTAGGATGTCTCAGGAGCGCCACCAACTATGCTGGCTTGGGCAGGTCATTAGGATGTCTCAGGAGCGCTTGCCATGGAAGATCCTGTCTGGCCAGCTGCATCTTGCCCGGCGGTCTGCAGGGGGCAGATGAAGCACTACAAGGACCAGCTGAAAACGTCACTGAAGAAGTGCAACATCAAACCCACAGACCTGGAGGATGCTGCTGCAGACAGTTCCACCTGGCGGCAGCTCTGCCAGAGCGGTGTACAGAGGAGGAGGAAAGGAGCACAAAGAGACAGCAAAAACAGCTCAGGAGACATACAACCATGCTGCCCCCTCCAACACAGACTGGGACATACCACCATGCTGCCCCCACCAACACAGACTGGGACATACCACCATGCTGCCCCCACCAACACAGACTGAGACATACCACCATGCTGCCCCCTCAC